AAAGGAAAAAGGAAAAGAAAATAAAAGGTAAACATCAACAGCATCAGTATGTAAGGATATTGCCTCTGAAGAGTATGCAAGGGAACTTGGTATTTTAAATCATCAGCCATGGGACCAGGGAGGTGGCTCAGTAAAATAAGTGCTTGCCTGGCAAGTGCAAGGGCCTGAGTTCAATCCCTGGTTCCGCAAAATAAATAAATATATGATAAATCGTTAGCCTTCAGTAATATATGTTTTTGTTCAAAAGCACTGATGTTAAAACATTGGCAGAAAATTTGAGGAAAGTTTCTACAATGTCTTGAAGCCCTGTCTATGGGCTCTAAATTACTAATCTCTTTCTCCTAGGGCAGAGGATGGAGGAAGGACAGGTGTAGGACCCTTGGATGAGGGTCAGGTGTCCTCAAATCAACACCACACACACATGCACGCACGCATGCACACGCAGGCGCATGTATACCCAAATACTCCTTTGCTTCCAACTGTTTGTTACTTCAAGGTCATCTGTGAGAAAGATGTTGGTGTCAAATGATACAGTTACACTAATTTTTCATTCTAAACAGTTGTATTATGGAATGCACTGCTGGCTTGATGTGGTGATCCACAAAATTTGTGGCTGTGATTGAACCAGGCTCAAGTTTGCTCTTCACATGATAAGCCTACCAACCACTAAGATGATCTATTTTGAGAAAAAAAAAAAAGTTTGGGATGCAGCAAAACAAGATAGCAGAGAAAATCGCAGATCTACCTCCCTGAGGATTGGATTTGGGCTGCTGATAGGATAAAGCAGCAGAGTGCTTAAGGCTGTGGGGAAAGGAGACTGCAGTACCCTGTGATCTGCTCTTGTGAAATCAAATTTCATGGCTCTTCACAGGATGCATGTTCTGAAAATGGTAGGTTTAGGCATCTTCTGAGAGGAAAGGGGCAAAAGTCTCTCCAACATCATCCACTGCAGAATGCCATAAACACAATGAAGGATGCCATGGCTTCAAATTATTTGAGCTAGACAAAAGTTTGCTTCCACATTCCTGAAAAATAGTGTAGGTAGCCATTAATGCTGTACGTGCATGCGTGTGTCTGTGTGTGTGTGTGTGTGTGCGTGCGCGCCCACCCATTTTGTGTGTGTTCCTTGTGTGTCTTTAGAGACAGGGTTTCACTATATAGCTCAGGCTGGCCTGGCATTGGCCATGGCTAGCAGGAGTCCTTGCTTTAGTGATAATGCCAATTAAAGCTGAAACAACAGAGGCTAGAAAGATAGCTCAGTAGAATAAGTGCCTGCTTGGCAAGCACAGGGGTCCTGAGTTCAATCCCCAGTACCAGAAAAAAACAAAAAGAAAAAACTAAAACAACAGTATGGATTTATAGGTGAAAGTTTCATTTGCAAGTGAGAGAAAATAGTAAGAGAATTTATTTAGCCTGAGGAGCTCACAAGGATCAAGCTGGCCCCCTCACAGAGGAAAGTAAAAGCAAACAAGAAGGCTCCAATTTGAGCAGCTGGAGGGTACACACTGAAGAAGCTGACCAGACCAGCCCACACAAAGGAGAGACCAATTTTATAGGATGCTGTGCTGGGATGGGAGTCTGGTACATCATGATCTCAGCCTTGGTTTTATATTTCCAGAGGAATCCTCATGACGTGAGAAGTAATTCAGTTCCCAGGAGATGACTGTTTTTGCTAGAGGCAGTCTCAGTCACGAATCCAATCTGTCACGAAACCAAAATGACCACATGTTTAGGGCAATGAGATTTTTAAGCATAGCTAGATGTTCCTGAACATTTCTTAACCCCATGTCCTCAGCCTTGAAGGGTGATGAGATAAGCAAGGTACATTTAGAACCCATAAAGCTGGTTTGGCCAAATTCTAGACATTACCTAAATGACTAGCTTGTCTCTATGTGAGGATGAGCAGGATTTGACCCAGAGCATTATAAAAATGAAGGTCAGGCTTTGTTCTATTTTTAGTTACCTATTGGCATCGTAGGTCCAAGTGAAGTCATGGTTTTTATTTATTTATTTATTTATTTTTTCAGAACCGGGGTTTGAACTCAGGCCCTTGCGCTTACCAGGGAAGCACTTATTCCACTGAGCCATCTCCCCGGCCCTAAGAGGAACAATTTTAAAAAGCAGCTTTTAAGTTCCAATAGGAAACACAAATCATGTTTTTTAATGAGTCAGGAGCCCAAAAGTTGTTTTGTCATCTGTCCCTGTGGTGATCTCTGTATCAGAACCCAATTTTCTTGCTTTAGTCTCCCAAGTTCTGGGATTACAGGTTCCATGACTAGAACCATTACTATCTTGACGCATACAGCAGAGGTATTATCTATGGCAGACCTAGTAGAAGTCTGATAAAACAGTGCCTTGTTATATGATTCTGTGTGTGTGTGTCTTTTTTTTTTTTTTTAATCTCAAGGTTTTAATATATTTATTTGAAAACCAAGGTCTGTGAAAGAGCACACCAAATGGTCATCAGTTTGTGTCTTTTTGAGACAGGGATTTACTGTGCAATTCAGGCTGGTCTTGAACTCACTTTCCTTTTTTGGGGGGTCGGTACCAGGGAATGAATTCAGACGTTGTTGCAAAGCAGCCACTTATGCCACTGAGCCATCTCCCTGGTTCCTTGAACTTGCTTTCATAGCCCTGGCTGGCCTGGAACTCAAAGCAATCCTCCTGCCTCAGCTATGCAACTCTAAAACTAGTGGGTTTTTCTTTTCTTTTTTTTTATTTTGTTGTATTTAGGACAGGGTATACAGAGTCTCACTGTGTAGATAAGACTCCTAGTGATCCTCCTGTTTACAGCCTCCCAAGCGCTGGGATTACAGGTGCTCACCACCATGCCCAGTCTCAATGCACCTGCCCTGAGGGCGGGTCAGGCAAAGCAGACCAGGGATCGAACTCCCCATCCCTGCGTCTGCCTAAGCAGGCACTTTAATCCACTGAGATAGTTGGCTGGCCCTCTTTCTTTTATTTTTAAAGACAGGGCCTAACTATGTAGTTAAGGTTGACCATGCCATCACATCCAGCAAAACTGGTGATTTTTAAAGTCAACCAGAACAATCCCCAGTTCCGCAAAAAACAAAACAAAACATAAAATCAACCAGAAGCAATTAAGTAAAAGTCAGTGAGACAGGTTAGTCTTGATGGGCATAGTCAGATTTTTCCTAAGGTCTCAGTGTGTATGTCAACGCTTAATTTATCATTGTTAGACATTAAAGAAGTTATACCTTACCATAGTGCTTAAGGAACTCTTTCTTTACATTTGTCTTTCTTTACATCACCTTTGGGCATGGTGGTACACAATTATAATTCTAGGACCAGGGAGGCTGAGACAGCAGGATCTCTGTGAGTTTGAGGCCAGCCTGAACTGCAAACTGAGTTCAAGGATAGTCTGAACTGCATAGTGAAACTCTGTTGTTAAAATATCTTTTAAAAAAGTTACGCAGTTGGGAAGCATAAAGAAATAGGGCCGGGGAGATAGCTCAGTGGAATAAGTGCTT